CCTACTGTATTGCCGGTACTGCTGCATTCTGCTTTTTAATGTTACGTTTGTGTGATCATTATGATAGGAAATAACTTTTCAGTGACCATCGCAATGACATATCAGCTGCAATGATTGCTCTCAAACTTAACCGTCTTTAACTGACTTATACCTCATAACCAGATAACTCAAAGTTATAACCGTATAACCAACATTCTTGAACTGAATGTTGCAGAATTTGATGCGGTCGCAAGAATGGCAGGTTTTTGGAATATTCCAATAATTGCCTATATGACTGCGTCGAATTCACTAACCGACAAAAACATCTACAAAACACTCTCAAGAATATCGATGCGTTCGACGAATTCTTTCGCTGAAGCAACAGCCGCACTACTGAATCATTATAAGTGGTTAAAAGTAAGTGGCTGATGAAAATTTGATTGATAGTGTTGGAGATTATCGATGAGATCGCTCGCCATCATTTGTTCTGTCAGATTGTCGCCCATTTAAAATGAATCTGGTTCTGAAGGCACAGTTGCATTCACTGGAACTGTTTTATAATACCTTCAAACAGAAATGACTGATATTTCATCGAGAGTGAGCAAAAACGGTTGTTTATTTAGTCTGGCGAATGTAGTGGAAACAGTCCTTTATTGAGAATACTTCACTTGATTATTAGCGGTTGAGAGAAAAAAAAAAGCAAAAACTATGGTTGTAAACCGAAACTGTTCTCAAAGGTCGCTCTAGTAACAAACACCGGATCTGTGGCATACGAACGTGTTACATCATTCGAGGAGGTGTTTGCGATTAGAGGTATTTCGGTGGTCAAGCGAATAATGTTCGACGAAAATGCCGATTCGGCAGCGATGAGGTCAACTGGACTCATTCATGAACTACGTAACAATGCTAGAAGTATGTATGATTCTTGAACTGTCACGTTCCTTCAGCTACACACTAGCAAAGTTGTCACATCGCAGAATATTTCAAAATTGCGTTTAGTATTCACCACATTCCACCGCTTAAACGTCATCTTCAAATACTTGACATCTCACTATAGTACGAACAGAAGTGGAAACCTATTTACTTATTGTTAAATTTTCAGTTATAATTTGTGTGTTCTCGTCGACACGTCAACAGTCTCGTGAATTCATGAGCGCAACCTCCTCAGAAAGACTTCAGGCCAAGGAATTCGTTTTCATTCTTCCGTGGTTACAAGACGGTAGTCGAGATGCATCACCATGGGTTGGCCCTGATGGCGAAATGCAACAAAAAATCAAAGACCAATACGCTAACGCTATTATCGTTCGTTATTTATTCCTTTTCTTCGAATACAACACTTGCACTATTGTAGGAGGAGGGAAACGCTTGAAATTGATGCACATTGCCGAACAACAGTCTAGCAAACATGAGATCACTCGAAAGAGAAGATTACCCGGATTACGTGGATTGGCCAGGCGATCAAACGTTTGTAACGTTGTTGGCCACAATGCTCGCGTTTCCGTTCGCACTGGTTTAGCTTTGATTGACGCCACCCCTCTGGCTAGGCAAACAGACCAACGGCATTCACGAAAGAGAAAATATTCTGAATTATCCATTATTCTCTTCTCATTTTGAAACCCTTTTCTGGGAGTATCGCTCTGCAGCTAGCATTTTGAACTGTCTGCGGTGAATGCTGAATTTCGAAGAGATATCGGTGATTTCAATCAACTTCCCAACTGCTTCTCAATTATTAATTTCAAATTATTTCACATTGGACGAAGATATTGCAAAAATACTGACTAACAGATTGATGATGTGAATGG